ACACACACACACACACACACACACACACACACACACACGGGGGGGGAGATAGAGAGAGATGTGCGAGGCCCCGAATTTAGAAATGTCTTGAAGGCAATGTAAGGATTATGTACTAGTGGCCTGGATAGCTTTTGGATGAATCTGGACTACAGTTTCCAGAATCCCCCTCCCAAGGGCAGCAGCCCTGGGGCCATGATGCTTAGGAGACTCTCAAAGCTGTAGTCCCAAAATGTAACTCTTCAATGTTCAGAGGCTGCTGTACTATGGCAGCAATGATCCTCCAGATGTGGTTGACATCCTGACTTTCTGCAGCTGGATCCCAAGACTTCATAGGACCACCTATTCTCAGCTTCATCAAGGTGGTCATACCATATGCTTTTGGACTCCAAGCCCTGACACTATGCCATAGGTAATCCTCCTGGCATTTACATTTTGACTAGAGATGGAGCCGAACAGCCAAACTGGCGGTTCGTGCCAGTTCACCCTTCGGACAAAGAGGAGTTTGGGGCTTCCCAGCCCTGCCTCCCCTGGCAGGCGCCCACTCAGAGGCAGTGCACAGAGGAGGCAGGGCAGGGAAGCCAGGGAACACCCATCAAAGGAGGTGGGGCTGGTAAATACCGAACACTCATTCGTCCAAAGGACAAACTGGCAAGTTGGTGCCCTTCTCTAATTTTGACTGTAAGCTCCTTAGGGTAAAGAGTATATGATATTTACACTTACAGAGCTACATAAAAAGCACAAACAATATTTCAAGAGGCAACCAAATGCTTTTCTGTTCTCATCTGTTACTCACGCTCATAGGATTTGAACATGCAACTTAGTGGCTGACTTACTATTATTACTCCTAATACTGATTCATTCAAAATAACCTTCCCCATTCTGGCACCCTCTAGACCAAGGGTGGCAGATTTTTAGCCCTCCAGATATTATGGACTTCCACTCCCAGAATTCCAAGCCTGCACTGCCTATTACAAAGAAGTATGGGAGATGTAGTCCAAAACATCTGGAATACCGAAGCTTCACCACCCCTGCTGTAGACGTTTCAGACTCTGACCTGCGGAGGCCCCAGCCAGCAGGGTCAACAGTCAAGGATGATGGGGAGGGTTGTAGTTGGGGAGAGGATGATGTAAGATACCCTATGTCACTTTCTTGAACTAAAAATAACTAAAATCAGGAAATTACAATTGCTAACAGAGGAAAAGCTCTATTTATCAAACCAAGACTAATTATGAAATAATCCACAGTCCAACCAGCCTTTTTTAAAAGTAGCATACAATACATCAAACATTAGCTTATCCATCAACCCCAGCCATCTCCAAACAAGGAGAGCCATCGAACCAAACCTACCGCACATCAAAGGCAGGCTGAAACAGAAACATCCTTTGCGTCTGCCAGAAGAGAAATAAACATAGCTCTTTTGAGCGTTCCTGTTTCTCCCACCCTTTACTACAGCAGCTTCCTCTCTACATTCTGGACCTCAAATATTGGCAGTTCCTAAGCCTTTAAATCAGCCATTCTCAACCTCTCTTTTTTTTTTAAGGCCACGGCCATAAACGCAATATGAAAGAAATATAGGCTGAATCAGGACTTGTGTAGGTCACATAACGAACCTTATAAGGTTGTATGCGAAGAACTGTCTGTGGCCCCTTTGAAATGTGCCATGTTCCCCTTGAGAAAGCCTGCTTTCAATAATCATAAAACATTCAGTAACATGTTAGAACTTTGCAAAGTTGCTCTTCTTTTGGGTGGGTGGGGGAAGAGACTTCCATAATGCCCCAGTCAACATGACCAATGGCCATGCTAGCTGGGGTCTTACAGGTACGGATGTCCATAAAAATTACTGTTCCAAGCTCTCCTCTTCCAAGCCCTTCACTCAGCATCTGCTTGAAATGCATCGATGGGCCCTCTCAACATCTGGAGCCAGAGGGCTTATGCTCAAGAGCTCCTGAGGTTGCACAAAGTGTCATCTGCCTTCCCTCTCCTCAGTCCCCCAATTCTTGAAGGTTATCTGATCTGGACTGCAAACCAGCCCCACATGTTCTACTCTATGGCAAGCCTACCTATCTGTGCTCATAAATCAAGCCCAAGATTTGGCTCTCGGAGAGAGAGAGAGCTAGTCGCATCCCCGCTTGCAACCTTCCTCCCAGTTATCCACTGGCATAAAACAGGCCAGGGGCCAAAGACAGGGTAAGTGTAACCCCCTGTACTGTCAAGAGAGTGTGATGGCCTTCTGAGGTGTAAAAAACCCCACAACAACCTAGGGGAAATGTTGGGGTTGTGAGGGGACAGGACCTGTGCTCCCCCCCCCGAGCATTCAATGCTATCCTCCTTTGTTGTAAAGCTCAGGTGAGCGAAATGCGCCATGTAGACTCTCGGTGATTCCTGAATATCAGGCCTGTGTTGGAGGAAGTGTAGGAATAAAGGAGCTTTATGTGCTTAACATGCCCAAGAGTGGAAATGTTCTTTTCTGAGTGGTTGGAAAGTATAACAAAAGAAAAAAAATAATCTCAAATGAAACTTGGCTACCTTTTTCATTGTTTACGGGAGGGGAACGAAAACACTGTGAATAAATCACTAATTGCGATTATACGTATGAGGAGGAGCCCGTAATGAAATTGTCCGACACTGGAAGGACGCTCAGGACTCGTCCTTGCAAAGATTTCAAAATGGAATATGGAGACTGGCTCTGATGGAAAAACTGACCTATTGCATTAAACTCTATAGAGGTGAAATAAAACAAGATAAATTTATAGACGTACGGAATCCCTTGTTGGCCTCTGGTGCAGGAGGCCAGTTGGGAAATGGGCTGAAATGCTGGTTAGTTTGAATAACTGCAGGGTTAGAAGTAGAACATATATAAATGTTTAAATATTATTACTCTATATAGGTAAGAAAATTATTGGAAGTGTAGCTGTATTTATAGGTAATTATTACTTTTTTCTTTTTTGTTATGTGACTAGAAGATTGCAATTTATTATTAATAATAATAAAACTTTTTTTAAAAAAACTGTGGATGGTTCCTAGAAGCCTAAATGTGTGACACTGTCTCTCTCTCTCTTGTTCACGATTACGGAGAGATGTCTTTATGATCTGCAGAAAATCTGCAATAGTTTCGGAATCCCACTTTGCAAACCTACATTTTTAAATTTTTTAAAAAATTGTTCTCTGCCGCAAATGTTTCTAAGCAATACAGGGGGGCAATTCCACCTATGTTTTGGCAGCTTCCGACACTCTGCTCCATTACACAATCCTTTTTTTCCCCCTGTAACTGTTCTTAGAGGCCATGGTTCAGGGAAAATAATAATAATAAGGAAACATATTCTTGGGTTTGAAAGGCACAGAAGCGAGCGCAGCCTTCCAAAACCGAGCAGTGGGTGAGCGTGGTTGTCCAAACGGAAACACACTCGAAATATGGTGTTGCCAGGATGTCACAACTCACCGTACGTGGATGGCTCCGCAGGTATGTCTGGAGGCAGACGATGGCCTTCTCCATATTGGATGTCATTTCTTTCTTTCTTTCAGCTGTCAGAGTATAAATGTTCTGTCTCTGATGGTATTTGATACAATATTCTCCAGAGTAAACCGTATGTGACAATGTGCTCCAGGACTCCGGTTCACCTGCTTCTTCTCTGAAATTACAAAAAAAAAAAAAAAGCCTTCAGAATGCTCAACAGCCTTCCACATTCTTATGCCCAATGGCTGCAAAGGACTACAGCTCCCATCATCTCCAAGAAGAGGGTTAGCTGATGACATCGGAATGGCACCAGCCTGTGGAAGGCTAGGCGACCAGAGGCACGTTGCTAACCAGGCAATGGAAGCGTACATTTCCAATCCGTGTTGAGCCCAATGAAAAGGCACCCAGCATGAAGACAGGACTGCTTATTCTGCAAAAATAATCAACAGCAGAAAGGGAGCAAAACGGTGGATCGGGACCTACTAAAAGACGTCTTTATAATCTGCAGAAGTCCTACAAGTTTCAGAATCCCAACTGTTTTAAGAACAGCAAGTAAAATGAGAGGCTAGCTGGATGCTAAATTCCTCAACCAAATATCCCTTCCTTTAAAAATGAATGAGGTGGCATTCTCAGCACTTTGAGCACCTCCACAATGTCAACCCAGTGGACCCCAAATAAATAGCACTCTTTTTCATTTCTTCCTTGATGGGCAAGGCCATAGGATCACTCAACTCCAGTACTTTCTTGACACTGGATGACTACATTAAAAAGGCAAGGTAAGAAACTGAACCTACCAGCAGGTGACATCAGTTTGGGGGGAGGGGGAGAGAAACTAACCATGCAGCTTCGGTCTTGTCCCTAAAACAAGAATAAACCATACTAGCAGATCATGAGGCAAATTTCCTGCCCCGGGACCATAAAAGCACCAGACAAATTCATACGGAAATCAAAGCTTCCCCTTTTTTTCGGAAAATGAGTCCTTTGGGATGTCAAACTGTGTGTTGGGGGGAATGATATATTTAAAACATGAATCACCCACTCTTGGCAGGCTCCAGAAGCTGCAATTTGTCTTACATGTGCAGAAAAAGGAGGTACTGTGGAAAAGCTGGAGGCCATCAAAAAGAGTTGGAGGTCAGATATGGGCCCTGGCAGGGGCTTATACCTTCTCCTCCTTCTTCTCTAAAATCTTGATGGTCATGAGAGATGGCTGATTGGAAGCAAATGCTACACATCTCACTAGATATACATCCTGATTTCTTCTTCCAGGATAAACCCTGTACCACTTTGGTTCTTCCTGGATGCATAACGTTCAGACCTGGCCCAGGATCACAGATGAGCAAGCCCCACAGAATCCATTCTGCTAACGGACCATGGCTATTATAATAACGGGCAAAGGATTTTTCCCTTTTGTTCACCGGATCTGGGTCAGACCGAACACGGCGGTGGTGCTCTGGCTCTGAAAAGTAGAACTGTGTTGTCCTGCCCACGGCCGATTTATAATGTCGCAACCAAAACAAGCTGGTAGGCGCTACATGCCAGCTCACCTGGCCGCACCTCCGCAAGTGCTGAGTGAGTGATGGGTGGAAATGAGTGAAACATGCGAGCTTTCAGAGTTAATGTTTCTACCAAGTAAACAATGCCAAACCTGAAGGTGGAGCCCATAAGATTTAAATATACTCTTCTCAAATTGATGGGAAGGAAGGAAGGAAGGAAGGAAGGAAGGAAGGAAGGAGTTCAATGAGCAGAGATTATTTTTGTAGGTCTTCCTTTTAGCACTCCCCAAATTTGTACCTGATGGCCATGGTAGTTGATGATGATGGGAGTTGTAATCCAGTACGTCTGCAGAATATCGGTTTTGGATAAAGCTGCCTTTAATATTCCCTCCACACTACCATAATTACTTGCGAAGAGATTAAGGGTGCTTAGATTTTAAAAGCTGAAAGCCGCTTAGGAAAGTGGTGCTTGATAGATCGACTTACATGTGGAAAGAAGGGAGGTAGAGGTAAGAGGGGGAAAGAAGGAATAAGGTGCCTCATACAGACCATCAGTCTGTTTAGCACAGCTTTGAGTACCCCCGATGGTATCAGGCAGGGGGTCTCTCCCACCTCTTGCTGAGCAGTCTCAGGGAGAGAACCTAGGATCCTCTCCACACCAAGCCGGTCTTCCACTATACTCCCTAACCAGGGGGCACTGAAAATTTGTTCGGCATCATAAAATACCTGGGAGATTGCCATGGATGAAAGGGTACACTGAACGGGGCAAAATGAAACTCACAGGCAGCAGGTCCTCCAGACTCTCTGATCTCCCAATCTCCATTTCCCATGGAGAAAATAGATGCTCCTGGAGTGGCCCTTTGCCTTTACACTTCTCCCTTGAACTGCACAGATCTGAGCAGCATAATTTTGGTTATCCATGGATTTTTTTAATTAATGGATGGATGGATGGATGGATGGATGGATGGATGGATGGATGGATGGATGGATGGATGGATGGATGGATATTTGTTTATTGACTATTTGTTTAATAAATGCTGCGTTGCTAATTCATCTCCAAGAAACATGGGTCTTGGACTTGAGGCCCCCGTTGTTGACAATGCAGCAGCATCCGGCCCTTTTCTCATGGCGCATGGCAGCCAGGGAGGATGCTGGGGTATGTGGGAGGCTTCCCCTTCTTCCGTGGGCCTACTCTAGTAGCAACTTGGGACTAGATTTTTAGCCCCCGCACTGCCTCAGAAAGTGGAAAATAAATTATCACAAGCAAAGGAAGTCTCCGCAGGCAGTGCTCAAGAGAGTCCGCCTTACTCTGTCAGCAGCTGATGGAGCTTCTGATGGCCTCTCTCCGAGGCCAAGCTTATGGGGGTAGCTCCTTCACTGTTGGGGACACAAAGGGCTCCTCTTCCACCGGGTTTATGCAACAGGAACCAGGTAAGTCGAAGGAGTCCCAGCCGGACTGCAAAATGCATCAACGTCTCCCGAGGAACATTCTCTGGAAAGAAAGAAAGAAAGAATAACAGAGAGATCCAAAGTGTTTTGCTTCCTGCTTAAGATGACCACCACCTCAAGAAGCCATCAAGGCCATCTGCGCGTGCTCGAACAGCTAGGAGGAGATACACACCCGGAGCAAAAAGCAACTGGGATGTGATGGAAAGCAAGAGTAAGAGAGAAAAGAATCAAAATCTTGTCCAATACAAACTGAAAACTGAAAAGATGGGGCAACCAGTAACTTAAATATGTCCTGATTCAAGAGAGAACGCTCTGAAAAGCTTATTCAAACAGCACTGTCTTGAGCATTTGTTTGGCAAATTCTGTCAGCATCTCTGTTCCTTAAGTACAGTAGTTCCTAATGGTTCATTAAGTAGCTTCTCGTGTGTGTAAGCCCCACCACCTGGTTACTTCCACACATGACCTCTGATTCCACAACATCAATGCTAACTTGTGAAGGAATCGATCCCCTTTGGTGACAGAACAACGGACATTGGACCTGATCCAATTTCTCAGGAGCATATCTGCATATAACTGGCACTGAGGATGGGCCTGTTCCCTCAAGGCAAACGAGAGCTAGAAAGTTTTCCTTCCACCTTAAGAAAAAAGCTGGCTTAACTTGGACACTAAAATCGAACCCTTAAAAGAACTGGCCTTAGCAACTAGCTCAGGGGTCATAAACAAAATCTTTTCCAGTCCACATCAAGAATATATCAGCGTACCTACATTTTGCATATTATCTGCACATTTTCCTCTGTTTTGCAAAAGACCACGTGCACATAGTCAAAATACAAGTTGTGGCAGTTTATACAGGTAGTACTGTGGTTGCTGAGCGGCTTGGATCCTTTCAAAAGGAACTTGCGCTAAAGCAGCAGAAAGTTTCCTGGATTCGGGCACGGCTAACATTGCTGGATTCAAGCCCGGCAAGAAACTATGGCCTGACAGCAGCTGAGCAAGGAATAGATGCTCGATGGGCTTTAAAAGTGGATGTCAAAACTCACCTGGAATGGTTCAAAGACACAAGTGGTCTTGTTCACAAACAATATTAATTAAAAGACAGCGGTGGAACTGTTGTGCATGAGAGTAGGGAAGACGGGAACGGGAATGGGCACGGCATTTATCCATGGCAGAACGCCTGAAACAAATGCCCAGGAGTTGAAGGCTTCAGTTGAGTAGATGGACACACACACACACACACACCCAGCTATCAAAGAGAAGCTTAAACAGCCCCCCCGGGGGGGGGGGCTTTAGCTGAGGATTCCCGCACTGCCAAGGGTCAGAATAGATGACCTTCTGGATCCCTTCCGCCTCAACATTTCTATGATCCAACAATTCTCTGATTCAGCTGAGCATCTTCTTTGTGCCTCTCAGCCATTTGAAACGCTGCTGCCACCTCTGCTAGGAAACAGGCTTTTCCTTCAGAACCACCGATACGCAGTTCAACTCTTGCCCTGTCCGCCCCACGCTACCTCCTTCTTGCTTTATCAGCAGCTCTCTTGGGTTTCCTTCGGGCGCCCAAATTACAGGCCAAACCACGTACGTGTGCTTTTCAGCACACAAGGTTGCAAGAAATCTGCAAGGCATAAAATCCTCTTCCGGGTGACATTTAACTGGGGGGGGATTAACTTCTGAAATCCTTCTTAATGCTCGGGAACCAGAATAGATCCTCTCAGCGGCTCTTTTCCAGCTGGTTCCAACCTAACCCTGGCCTTTTTCTTCATTTTCCCATGCTGTTGTGGACTGAAAGGGAGCCACAGGAAACCACCAACATTTTCTCATGGAAGCTGACATATAATTACTAAGACTGTCCCAATACATTTGAGCTCCGTCTAAGCGCAAGCGTGGGTTTCCCCCATTTGACCAAGGCACCGTTTTTCACGCCACATCCATCATCTCGGATTTGAAATACTAAAAGTTATCTCGTATACCTCAATTATTTTCTTTATCTGCCCATCTACCGTGACCTTTCTTAGCACATTTTTCCTTGCAGAAATAGGCAACTTGGTGACCTCCAGGTCTTCTGGACTACAACTCCCGTGACCCTTTACCATGGTCCCTGAGCTCCAGCTGTACTCCAAGACCCCATAGGCCACCAAGTTGCCTTTCCTCCATCTTACTGCCACAGCAACAGACCTTACAGAACTCTTCCAGCTTAGGGCTTGTAACTAGAGATGTAAAATTTCTGAACATTTCCATTTTTTTTTTTCTGGAAGAAAACAGGAAAAAAGTGGGAGGTGGGTTTTTGTTTTTGTTTTTTGGAAAAATGGAAATTTCTGGAAATTTTGCATCTCTACTCATAACACAAGACCCTGACACTGAGAGGTGGTCCAAAGCCCTCTGGACTTGCCAAAATGGGTCCAGATCTGGTCCAGAACTCATTCCAAGCCTGCCCTTCAAGTTCAACAGAAAGGTGGAGAACACACTTTTCAGGGCTAGATGGAGAAGCACATCAACTGGACAAGGGCGAACCTCGTTGTTCGATGGACAGAACTCCTCTTCCTCCAATAGCCCAAGGAAAAGTGAATTAAGAGAACACATGAGAAGAACTCCAGGCAGGATATGCTTTGAACCTGTGTCCAAAAAAAACCCCTGAAGTTATGAACAGGCTGACGATGATTCATGTTGATGAAGCATTTTTTCAATGAGAAGTACGGACCAGCTTTTCTGAAAGACAGCTTCCCAGCTATTCCCAGTGATCCCCTGAAACAATCATAGCAGTGTGGTGCTTTCCTGTGGCTCACTTTCAGCCCACAACAGCAGAGCCTAACAAGGCTTGGCCAGTTAGTGGCCCCTCCAAACTGATCAGCTGCTCCCTAGCATCCCGCCCCCCCCCGAGATCCTTTGCAAAGCTTAGGGTCCCCAGATGTTCTTGGACTAAGACTCCCAGAAGCCTTCAGCACTAGCTGTGCAGGGCCAGGACTGCTGGAAGTTGTAGTCCAAGAACATCTGGGGAACCCAAGGCGGGAACCATCGAGCAGATGAGTCCACGTGGACTTTCACGGAAGTCAAAGGATTAAGAAGCCAGGAAGCTACACAGCAAGGGGTGGGAAAGACAAGCAGTGCTTGGTTAGATAAAGCAACCATGTAATGTAATGCAATGCACAGAAGAGGAACTTCGGTTTCTACAAAACCCACTGCACGCAAACAACATTCTGACCACAAAGAAACAAATACTAGTTCATCTGCTACCACTTTATCGTTTTTCCCTGTTTACAGAAAGAACAAGTGATGGTTACTAAACACTGAACTGTGAGTGGCAGCCAGAGGAAAAACTAGTTATAGTATGCCTTTATATCAAGGGCCATGCACTCTTAGCCCAGTGGATAGATGCAGCTCAGAGACCTTCCTTATATAGTCCACATGATTCTTCTACTGTTCTATTGATGGGAGGTTAATAGGCATTTAAATCTGAAACAGCAACAGCAAAATCCAATACTATCAAAACAGAGACAGCTCAACGTCGTTTGATCCTCTTTAACAGACACCCAGAAAAATTAAAAAGAAAACTGTGATTGTTTCTCCTTACATCGCTATGTGGCTTGTTGTTATTTCTTATTTCAGAAAGCATGGCTTCCAAACTTCCCCAAACGTAATACGGTGGTGCCTCGCATTACGACGTTAATTCGTTCCAGCGAAATCGCTGTAGAATGAAAATGTCGTAATGCGAAAATAAAAAGCCCATTGAAACGCATCGAAACCCCTTCAATGTGTTCCAATGGGCTGGAAACTCACCGTGTAGCGAGGATCCTCTACAGGGCGGCTATTTTCGGTGCCTGTGCAGTGAGGAATCCGTCCCAGAAAACAGCGGGGAGCCATTTTATTTACCCGGTGGCCATTTTGAAACTGCTATCACAAAAAGATCATCGTAATGCGGGGCAATCGTAAAGCGAGGCACCACTGTATGCCTTCCATGAAAACTACTTGTTTACCTGTGGTGATTCTAAATTTGATTTTGGGAAGGGCTTTCCTTCCCACCCCCACCCCATTTCGACTCTAAATGCTGTGGGACCAAAGATAGAAGTTAAAATACAAAATTCAAAAGATTGAAGAACAGTGGAGACCATCAGCAAGGCAGTAATGATGATTGAAAGAAAACAAGCCAGTGTTGCGTAAAAATGTTTAAAAACACTGCCTAATGCAGACTCAGATAAAGAAGACCCTGGTTCAATGGATGTCTGATTTTCCCTCCCTGGAAAAATAGTAAATACAACAGCCTTCATCGTAAACATGACTATGTAACTTTGAGGACACACGCTTGCCTTTCCCTTTTTTCTCAACCCTTACCAACATTTTCATTTTATGTCAGTCAATCAGAGCCTTTACTGTCATACACAAAAACATCACAAACTATCAATGAACTGGATTTACAAATTCGTCATGCTTCAGCCTGCAACTCCCGCTTGGGTGACAGTGTGAGCCTTTCTATGAGATATACTTTCAGTTTTGTCGGCCTGCAGCCAGGATGTCTTCAGGTTCCATTATTGCACAAACTGCTTCAAGTAGTCACAAAAAGTATTGTTAAGAATATCAATAGGGTCTTTTTTATACTAGGTCTTGTTTACTTTGTGCAGCACTGCAGATTTACGTTGCCTTCAAAGCTAGGATGGAAATACAATGAAAACAAAAAAGGCAACATGCACAAGTAATTAAAGCTTCCCAACAAACAATGGCCCGTTTTATGGCTGTCAACTCAAAATCTTTCAGCTCACAGGGAAAGGCTGCCTCGGGAGCTTACCGTTCAGAGCGTCATCTGTTCCCAGGACGTTCCACTCGTCTGGCAACTTAAGGTGACGAAACGCCAGGGTCACTTTCTCATCCAGGTAGTTCACATCCTCCGCAGGTGGCCGGGAGCGGTCCAAGAACCTTGTGAAGTTGAGGGCCTGCTGGTTGCCCGCACAGGTGGCCAGGAACTGGGCCGCATCGTAAGCTTCATCCTGCACAAACTGGAAAGTGTCTTTGGCCACCACTAGAACAGGCTGGTCTTGCTTGGAAGCGCAGAGAGCGACTTTCACTGTCTCACAGCAGTCGTGGCCTGAGAAACATAGAAACAAATACAGCTGAAGGACTGACGCAATTCAATATTTTTTACATCTCTTGCATCTATGCTTAAAACCACCTTCATGTCGCTGATACAGCATCTATTACAGTGGTCGCCAACCTTGGGCCTCCTGATGTTCTTGGACTACGACTCCCAGAAGCCTTCACCACCACCTCTGCTGGCCAGGATTTCTGGGAGTTGAAGTCCAAGAACATCTGGAAGCCCAAGGTTGGGGACCACCTCTCTATTATACATAAATGTCATTTCCGAACTGCATCCATGGCTTCCTAAGTACTTTCTTGATTTCCATTCAACAGAGGCAGAGTAGAAGACTTCAGAGCTACCTCAAACTCTTACATTGTAGGAAATGGGCATGTCATTTTACTTTTAATGATATTAACCTTCGGAGCATGTGTTAGAAAGTGCTCCATCAGAACGTACGTAGGCAGCCTAGAAAGGGAAGCCATGTGAGATCTAAGCACCAGCCAGAAAAAAATGCCAGTAAAATGGCAATTTGCATATGCATAGGTTGCTGTGGCCTCTAATTAATAAAGTGCTGGTTGCTTTCCTGGTCATGTACCCACTGCTTCCAGAAAAAATGCCGGTAAAATGGCAATTTGCATATGCATAAGTTGCTGTGGCCTCTAATTAATAAGGTGCTGGTTGCTTTCCTGGTCATGTACCCAAATGTGTGCCAGACACATACATGGAACACAGCTGTCAACTTCTGCAACTTCACCCATGCACAAATGAATCATAAATCAATTCTAGTCAGTTATGTGGCTCCCCAGACTTCTGATAACTGCAGAATGCCCTTTTCTGTGGGAACACTGAAATTCTGTGGCATCATTAATCTGGGAAAGCTCCTTTTCGCACATACTAAGAGCAAACCCGACTCACTTTCCATGAAGCTAACCTCTGCATGTGTCAAGCCATGTACACAAGGGGCACATCTGCGCCTGCGCTTCTACATCAGTCATTGAGCATCTCACTTGAGGTCAGGCTAAACCAAATCATAGATTTGCACAAGGAAACAATGCACCAGTTCCGATCATTGCCAAAGGGATCTCATCTCTGCACTTTGAAATCACAGGATTCTCTTTAATTCACCGATATTTCTCCTGCAACCCTGATGTTTCTGTCCTTCAATTTGCCGAAAATAAACAGGACTACACAACGGCCTCAGATGTGCCCTCGGTGTGCATAAAGATCAGGACAACACGGTTGCCAAGAAAACAGAAATTTCTGGTGGTAAAATGTGGTCTAAGAGCAATCTCAGGGACCCACAAATTTACTTGCTAACTACTGACAAGTCCTTGAACATTGTACAGTATAGTAGCTGCATACTCGTTCGCCTATAAAATGTCCCAAATTCAAACCACAGGGTCACTTGTGTGTTGTTGTTTTTTTAATCAGATGGCAGGAAATAAGAAAAATATGTCCCAGTACAGACTGGATTAGTTAGATGATTAGGCAGTTTTCTCCATTTTCTGTGAGAGAAAGACAGAAGCTTCCTGTTGATAAGGTGCGACTAATTTCCTAGGGCTTCCCAGGTGCTTCTGAAGCCCAACAAAACCTCAGGGGAGAAATCCACATCTTTATCCACTCACTTCCATTACTACGTAAGGCTTTGGGATAAGGGAAACGGAAATCCCAAGTCTTCTGCGACGATGTTCCCCATGACATTAAGCAAAGATGAGATTCTGCTCTGCTCAAGCTGGGTGTGGGAGGGCGTGTTTGCAAACTATAAATTTTGGATGATCGCTGAAGACATCCAACATTTGCAGGTCACTGAGTATTTTTTTGGGGGGGGAGGAAGAAACAGACTTATACCTCCGTAGCCCTTTAAATCTCTGTCTGTCCATCCATCTCAGTCATAGACGGACAGTCATATTATAAACGCACACGGAAACACAGTCGGCTGCCAAACTGAAGTCAGTTTCCACACCCTAAACTTGAACACGTCTGTGATTTAACAGTCCGAGCAGAGCAGACGCTGTGGGGATCCAGAACGAGTGAAGTCAAACTCCCTCAGCACCAGTTTAAAAAAAAAAAAACACAAAACCCTGAAGTTCCACCTTTTTAACCTGGCCATTGTTCTGTCATTGGCAGGCCAGGCCCCCGTAATAATGAGGTTCAAGGTTCGAGTTCCCTTCCACTCTTTCTTGGGGCCCCGTCGCTGTGCTGACGTCAAGGCTGCTTGTGCCAGAACAGCAAAGACCGTTCACTAATTACTGGAAAAGCAGCTCTGCCCATTACCTCAGTCTCCGACTGTGTGATTCAGCCCTTCTTCTTTTTGTTTTTAATTACATAAAGGAGCCAAAGAATCCCCCACAGCCCCAACCTCTCTCTTCAAAAACAGGCTTGAAAAATTAGAAAGACTCCTTGCACCACGGTAGACGAGAGAAAGTCCACTGTTTTCCAGCCGCTCGTACGGGGAAGTGCCGTTGCTCACAGCTCAGGAGGAAACTAAAACAGCAATTTCGGGTCCGTGTCATCGTAACAGGCTAGGAAGCTGTCAATTAATTCTGCTCGTCGTTATTGCCAGGGGGCCATCAAGTCCCTACTGATTTAGGGTGACCCTCACAGCATCTCCAAGGTATCTGAGATGTTTTAAGAAGTAGCTTTGCCATTGTCACCACCCAGTGAGCCGGATTTGAACCCAGACCTCCTAAATCATAGTTTAAAATTCCAATGCACTGCACTAACTGCAGTGGCTCTCAAAATAACTGTTTCCCTCATGAGGAAAAACTGGGGGAGCCAAGTGGCACAATCCCTATTATCATTCCTTAAATCAATCTTGTTGATTTTCTAACGTATATTTAAGAACACAAGAAGAGCCCTGCTGGATCAGGGCAAGGGCCCATCTAGTCCAGCTTCCTGTATCTCACAGCGGCCCCCACCAGACACCTCTGGGAGCACACAAGACAACTAGAGACGTGTCCCCTGATACCCCATCCCCCTGCATCTGGCATTTGGGGGTCCCTTCCTTTGAAGCCTGGAGGTTATACCTCGCCATCATGGCTTGTCATCTGCGATGAACGTTTCCTCCATAAATCTGCCCAACCCCCTTTTAAAGGCATCTAGGCCAAATGCCATCGCCACATCCTGTAGCAAGGAGTTCCACAGACTAACCACACGCTGGGTCCAGAAATATTTTCTTTGGTCTGTTCTCGCTCTCTCCACACTCAATGGGAGTGGGTGCCCCCTGAAACCTAAAGGACATCTTAACTCCCTTTTACAAATGGTGCAGAAGCAGTGGCATCCACCAAGTTGAAATATAAATGGAGGAAGGTGGGGAGCTCAAGCAGCAGTTTTGGGTGTGAGGAGGGGAAGACAAGCACAAACAGTGTCCCTCTCTTTTTTTTAACCAAGCAACGGTAAGAGGGGGCAGGTGCAGAACTAAGAAGCAATTGGAAAACTCTACCGCTGGGGAACAAGGTGACAAATTGGATTTAATCAGATCAAAGTATGATCAGCTACAGCAAAGAAGTTTACTGTGTTCCTCGAGGGCGGCTCGTTCAAGCGCTTTGATGTCCTCCTTCCATTACAACCGAAAAAGATTCCAGACCTAGAGGGGTGCCCACCCACCCCCTCCCCATCCAGCATTAGAGTTCAACTTTGGTAATTAGTTCAAAAGAAAAGGGAGCTGTTCCACAATGAGCGTGACAAAGACCCAAATCGCTCCAGCCCTGCAAAAACAGGCTTTGGAAACCTTTGTCGGCACATCACTCGCTTTTAAGACTTCACAACAATAAAAAATCAAGTTGGTGCAAACAGGCAGGACTTATCCAGGTAAGGAGTAAAGAGCATAACAAGCTTATTTGGAGGGGGTGGTCCTAGTCTAAGAGACATGGGCTAAAATCCAGCAGCCATGGACAACTAGAGTATGTCCATTGAACCAAGCGGGACTTAGGGAGTCAACCACTATCCACGTTCCATTGACACAGTTTTGGCCAGAGCAGAGTCCACGCTCAGGAGATAGACAGTCCTTGTATCATGCATGAAGACTGAAGATACCTCCACACAGACCCCGGCCACATGCCGGCTTCATAAGGCATATTTATTTCTTGATGGTCCATTTCAAAACAAACACAACCTCCATGGCTCTCCTCCTCTGCTGTAGAAGAGTGGAAGTGCTCACCCCTACCAAGGTGGTCCCAAAAAAGTAACTTTTTCAAGCTCTGCTGAATCTTAATTTGATGTCTGGGAATTCTGTTCCAGCCTCCTGTTTGGACGGGGATGGAGACCATATTTTGGTGGCCACCAAGGCTAGCTCAGACTTGCTAGCCCCGAGTCTTAAGTAAACGCCCAGGGCACAAAACGGCGCTAACCGCTACGGCCAAGAAAGTGCAAGAATCCACGTCAGCCCCTACGCTCAGTCCTACCCACTGTGACACGCTGCCTTGTCCTTGCCAAAGGGCAGGCGTTACGCCTCAAATGACAGGCAGAGAGAAATCATGACGGAGGACATGGTGATGCTCCTCGCCAGCCAAGCAGTTCAGCTTGCATCTCGGCCGGCTCTCTTCCAAGCCAGCGGTAGCCAGCGGAGCAGCTTCGCTGACACCAAGCTGCATGGAGACAAAACACTGTTGTAGCTAAACAAGCACCGCTGGAAGTCTTGCGAGAACGCATGACTTCATATCCTCTCCAGCCGGGACTGGAAGCCAGCCTGTCCAAACGCTGCCGTCGGGAGGCCCTAGATCTCACGGAAGGAACAATGGGGCATTCGGCTTCAGTGGCTATTTTAAGTCTTCACTGGGGAAAAAAAAGGGCAGGCTAGCCTCGCCTCTGCAGGTAACAGAAGCTGTACAAGTGGTGCCTCGCTAGATTATGATAATCTGTTCCACTGAAATCGCTGTTTAGCAAAATCATCGTCTAGCGAAAAGCATTTCCCCACTGGAATGCATTGAAACCTGTTTAATGCGTTCCAATGGGGAAGAATCATTGTTGTCTAGCGAAGATCGGCCATAGGAAAGCCGCTTTGCGAACCG